CCAAGCGCAGGCCAGAGCAATGCTGATGGTGAGGAGAGCCCATGTAGCAGTGATGAACAAAGGTTTAGCTCTTAAATCTGCTCGTAGATAGCCAATCAAAATTATTAAAATTGAAAGTGGAAATAAATCTTTAAAACTACATTTCGAAGATTTCAGTAAGCAATGAGAAAAGCTTAATTTAATTAGCAAAATAACTTACCTAGTGTATCACAATGGCCTTTTTCTATACTAGTGTCCTAAAGAAATGACAATAGTTGTACAACAGGGTTCAGGTCTTTTTTTCATAGGATTGCTGTGAGTTGTGCTTAAATTGGTGGGACTTAACAATAATGTGTGTGTGTGTGTGTGTATATATATATATATATATATATATACATACACACACATATATATACATATATATAGAGAACACTATATATGTTGTTATCTATAGTTATATATGTTTTATATATACATATGTTATTTATAGTTTTATATGCATATATGTTTTACGTAGTTTTATGTTGTTTTTATGTACTGACAAGCTGGAACCAATCCATAGCTGACCCTCCAGTGTGTTTTCAGTCTGTAAATCTTATAGGAAGAGACTGTCCATCTTGTTCTCGAGAGCAGCTGGTGGATTTAGTACAACTCCTTACCTCCAACTACCAGAGTGAGAGATAGATAGCTAGCTAGCTAGATATAGAGGCAGAGGTAGAGGTAGAGATAGAGGTAGAGATATATAATGATCTAGTGAAAATAAAGAAGCAAAGGGAAATGTTCAAGTGAAAATAAATAAAGAGAAATATAGCATAATGCTACAAATTTTGGTCTTTAAGATTTGGATAAGGGATAACATTTCTTTATCTGATATTCCTAACAAATGTAATATATTTTTAAAAAGGAAAGCCGCTTGTTTTTTCTTTGGCTATCAACATTTCTTCTAACAAGGTAGAAGGCTTTAAAATTCTTTTCTGAAAACAAAGATTGGAATTTTAAGGCTTGACTAGTCGAGTAGAGCCAATATGAAAATTTTCTCAAAGCTCTTTTTTGGACTATATCACATGGTTACCCCACCAGTTAAATTGTAAGAAGAGTAAAGCATGTTAGAGGGACTCAAGTGATAAGTAAACTGTTAACCTGATGGTAAAAATGTAATGTATACATTTACATCCTGTGCAAAGTGACTTTCAGGTGAATATTTTAACATAATGTATTTCTCCATATTATAGGCCATTTCCAAGGTGTTCAGGTGCTCCTGTGCCTCTAAAATATCAGAGTGCTTAATCAGTTCTGTAGACATGCACAGTCAATGTTAGAAATCTTCACGTACACAATGCTGAGATTGGAAATGACTTAGCTGAGGCAATCTTCGGCATTGTACAGACAGAGCTAGAATGCAATGAGTGTGATCATTTAAACCCTATCTCCTCAGTATCAAAATAACCTATTATAAACACTTGGTCAATCAGCTAATTCTTTTGCCCATGCAATTCCGAGTCATTAATTTGAGTAATTAATTAGATTGAGGTTACTAAACATTCAGGTGGTTTCTTAAAATAAAATTTAATCTCTGAATAATAGGAATAAAAGATTCTGTGCCCAGAGCTATGTGTTTGTTTGGGTTTTTTTAAATCTTATTCATCCTTTTCATATACATGCTCTTTTATTTCCTTTTAAAATGCTCTTCTTTTAGGCTATCCACATTTGGCTTTAATAACTTGGTTAGAAAGAAGACCTGGCTAGGACAAAGTATTTATTAAAATGTAAATTAAACTGCCTGAAAGGGGGGAAAAAGGGAGACTGAGAAAATATTAAAATAAATGGCCTTGGGTTACAGGAGGTGGAGGTGTGCACCTCCTGGAGAGTTAAGAAGAGAAGTACTTCAGAACAGAAAAATGCCCAAGCATAAGTTATAGATATCAGACAGAGCTGGCTGTCCTGTTCAGCTCGTTCCATTCATCGGCTTGTGCGTCAGGGCAAGCGTTCTCCCAGACTCAGAACCTTACTGTCATATTTAGTTGTTCCTCTCTTCGTCTCTTGTGCCCCAAATGTTCACATTTCACCCTGTCCTCCTTGAGTCACAGCTTCATTTCAATTCTCTTGATTGAGGATGTTACAACCTCATGCCTGAATCACGTTCAGCAGCCTGCAATGTGCTCTTTCTGTCTCTAGCACCTGGCCCTTCAAAGGTATCTGTTCCACAGCTATTACTTTACTCAGCCTTGATCTCCACTGCACCACTTTGTTCCTTGTGGCTCCTGCTCCTTGCTCCTAATTCTTGTTGCCTTTTCAAAGAAACTAATCTTCTTTCTCTGCCTCCTAGTTGGAATCTTTTTCTCTCTCATTTCTCCCCCCTCCCCCTTTCTCACACACACCCCTGTTCACTTCAACCTTACTATTTCATTGTTTCACCGAATATATCGTTAATTATGGCTCACCAAGTCACTCCATTTCATGAAAACCTCCTCTATGCACCACTCATTGCCCCTTTCCAGAACTACTAATTCCATCCTTACCACCGTGCCTTGTCCTTTCTGCCTGGAGGCATCTCCCTTTCATTTTCATTTTCATTTTCAAATGAACCTCATTATTTAAGAGCTTTCCCAAATGCCACTTCTTCCATGGATCTGCTTCCCATGCTTCTAGGCTCACAATATCCCTTACTTTTCCTTACACTTTTATTCTAATTAAAATCAGGGAGGAGTTATACAACATATTACTTAAGTCCGATCTCATCGATTTATATGTTACTCTGTGTTTCTCAGTGAGGGTGCTACTGGCATTTGTATCTATTTTATTTATTTGTATTTATTCACAGTGAGTGACTTCTTGAACACTGAAGGGTGTTTAGCATCCCTGGTTTCTGAATGCTGGCAGCAACCTTCTAGTGACAACTTCAAATGTTCCATAGACTACTTCAAGTGTTCTAGTATTAAGAATCCTTTAGCAAATGTGTAATATATGTGCATCTATTCAACAAATGATCTTTAAGTAGTAAATCTATATATTCAGAACAAACACATGTTTTTCAGTAGTTTCCTTACAGGAACCAGCATGTTAAAAAAAAAAAAAAAGGAGTTGAGGCCAATTAACAGTCAGGTACTAATTACTACTTCATTTTATGTGCCTTCCCTAAGATATTTTGACCTTCACGTTAACCGTTGATTTTGATATTTATCCTTCCTTTTATAGATAATGAAATTAAGACTCAGAGAGTACTTCTTATCCAAGGTAACACAGCTTGACTGAAAACTTTGAACTGAAACTCCAGGTTGTTTTGGGCCAAATCTTTAGTTTCTTCTACCACATGGTCTCTGTAAGAATTCCTGTTCATAACATCTTTGAAGTAAGAATGTGAACATGTAACATAATTAGCAATTAAGCCACATTATTAATACTGGTAAGTATGAATGGGTGTTAATTCAAAGGCAGGATATTTGATCAGACAAACATGCCTTTTGAATTTATAAGAAGAATGATGAATGAATTTCCTCATTGACCTCCTTGCTGGAGCTTTTCACCCATGTTTAGTATTGAATTGAAGTGTCTATCGTCTTTACTTTCTTATTGTATTTGTTAATGTTTGTTTTGGTGGATGGGCAACAGATCTCTCTGAATTTCTATTCATCAGGCTTTGGGTAATAAGTAGCCAATGTGCCCTTCCAATAAACAGCACATCTTGACTTGAAGCAACACATATCCAAGAGTTGCTAAAAGCTGTTTAGATTTTTTTCCCCCTATTGCATAGGTATTTATTAATAAAAATGTTGCATTAATAAAATATTATGTTAACAACAAAAAGGTTATTTTTGTTAGAGTTCATTATTCATTTCATGGATTATCTCAAATGCGTATTTTTATTTGTGCTTTATTTCACTTTTGGCTCAAATGTGCAATTACAGTTTTTCATTCATCAGCTAACTTGGAGATTAGGAATTAATTAGGAATTAATAGCATGGATGAGACAGATGCAGATTTTCAAAAGTATACTCCATTTCTATCTATGCACACAGGAAAAAGCATTCTCTCCATGGGGGGGGGGGGATTCAAATGATTTGAAAGAAGCAATACTGTTCATTTCAAATTTTCTTTTTCAACTGTGAGAATGAGTGTTTACCACGTGTTTATTGTGTTCACCAAAGACTGGAAGTCTAAGTACATGTGCAAATTTAGACAGTTTTGTAACTCTAGATAGATACATGTGTACAAGATATAAAATTGTCTTATTCCTATGTTGTCTTGTAAGTCTTATCTCTAGTAATAAAATTACACTTCACTCACTAGCAAAAGCACTATTCAAATGTAAGCACATGGACATTCAGATGATCACAAGCATAAAGAGATTTTTCTAGTTATGTTCAGCAGGGGAAAAAAGCCATTTTGAACAATCCAATCTTTCTTTATGTCAATTTCAGCTTGCTGTTAGACCTTTCCTTGGAAAATTTCCTGAACAAAGTACATTTTCAGCTTCTGGATGCTGGAATGAGTTTTAGAGAGATGGAAGGCTTACAGTAAAGGGGAAGATGAGAGAACTTTACTGAGTCTTAACAAAGTCCAAGGACCCCTCTCAGTTACTTGTCTGTTCTGTGAGCGGCCGTAGAATGGCAAGTAAAGTTTCATTATTCTTGACTCATCTTTTCTGAAACAATCTCGTCATTGTTTGTTGTGGTGGTGCTATCGAATACTTAATAATATACAGCTGCTCCCTATAGTCTAAATATTTTGACAACATTTCCGAGAGAGGCATCAACATTTAAAAGACACTGTTGGAGAGTTTCTGTTCCTTTTATCTTAATAGCCCCTGAGCTGATGCCTGCTGATGTTATAACAAATTTTCCCCATCTATTTTTAGATCTTCAGTTGCTCTCGAGATGAATTTAATATGCAAAGTAGAGGCTTACACCAGAAAAACATTTGCATGATTGTGTTTTGGTTTCACCACCAGCCTAAGTAGGGCAAAGCTGATCCCATCTCACCCAGAACTTCATCCCACATTTCCTCTGCTTAGACTTTCTTACCTGCTTTCTCGAAGAGACAGTGCTGTTGAAACACCTATTGGAGGTCTTTGAATTCAAGCTCTTGTTCTGCTGCTGGTTTGACTCGTTCTTCCATGTCTTAGAATTGCCCTTAGCAGCAGAAGGGATGGGATTTAAGAAAAGGATTCTAGCTATGAGTCCATAGAGGACGGTGGCCAGGATCATTGGCACGACATAAAAGACAGCAAAGTCCATTAGGTAAATAGGTGAGTAGTAATTCCTGGAGACCTTGTAGCCACAGGACACCACAGTAGCATCTTTATAGGTGTTGATATTGAGATCCAGCAGAAAGAACCAAAGCATACAGTAGATGGACGTGAAAGCCCACACAAAGATGATAATCTTTTTGGCTCTGGAAAATGTGCAGATGAACTGGGCTTTGATCGGGTGACAGATTGCTATGTACCTCTCAATTGTAAAAGCTGTTATGGAACAAGACGACGCGTTAATGCCCAGGTACTGGAGGTAAGTAATACAGAGGCATCCAACATAGCCATAGACCCAGGAACCGTAGAGACTCTCTGTGATGTTGGGGAGGCCCGCAGCCACCAGGACCATGAGATCGGCTACTGCCAGACTCACCAGGTAGCAGTTTGTGGGGGTCCTCATGTGCTTGGTTCTCATGACCACCAGGACCACCATGATATTGCCCACGATGCCCAGACCACAAATAATGAGCACAAGTAAGATGGTGACTGCTTGGTATTCTAAGGTCACCACTGCTCGTGGCTGGAGCTGCGTTTGGTTCATTTCACTTACTGTCTCGTTTTCCATGGTTACTGGTTGAAGTTTCTCTGAAACACTCACTTCTCAGAACATCTTTGCCCCAGCACTCTGCCTTTGTTACAGTGGCCTCATACACCTGTGAAGAGTTGGGGCACACAGTCAGCTCACACTGTCACGTCACCATGTCACATCAAGTCACCATCACTCACAGGCAACTCAGCTCCTCTCCTTCCACTTCCCATTCTTCTACAGTTACCGGGCTGTGATGCACTCCTGAAAACTCCTTTTATTGCAGCTCTCGTGAAGAATGGAGTAACTGCTTTGACCAGCTCACAGCAATAAAGCTTTTCCCTCACAAAAGAGAAAAGTGCTTAAGAAAAGGGAAACAGGGAAATCTCATTTTGCAAGGGTTCTCAGTAGGGAAAATGAAACAATATCTGTTGATGGACACACACACACCCACACACACACACCCTCTTTTAGATGCCTGGGAAAAGTATTAGAAGAAAAAGATAACAGGAAGAAAAAGCCAAGAGGTTCAATGATGAATGTGGGTAAGAATTTAGCTTTGCCTCTCACACTCTTCAGAGGATAGATAAGGTAAATCCCTTTGCTATATATACACAACAGCAAGGCTTTGAGCCCGTGTTTTAACCAAGCCCCCTGCCCTGCAGACCCCAAAAGAACAATTCCTTCCTCTTACCTTGACTTCTAAAGGGCTGCCTGCTTTCCTAGGTAGGAGAAGTGATAGCTCCAAGTTTCCAACCAGGTAGGAAATCTCATTCACTTCGTGTGACAGGGAGCCCACTGAGAGCAGTGCTCAGTCCTCCGAACTGCAGTTGCTCTGAGCCCTCACAGCCCTTTTCAACTAGGACAGACCATGCAGCCGCCGCCGCAGCAGCAGCAGAAGCAGGAGCAGCACCAGCACCAGCAACAGCGAGGCTGTCAAATCCTAGATCGTCCCCTAATGAGAGCACACACGCACCACACACTCACACCCACACACAGGCTCACATGCTCATACTCACAAATGCCAGGCTGTCCTCATTGATTCAGAATCTTCTCCCTCTGAAGGATTTACTTTTATTCCTGCGCTAATGACACACTCCTCAATCTGGAAGGCTGCAGTCTCAGGCAGGGGGGCTGCCAACAGCTGATTTTGTAGTTACTTGGAGTCTCAGCACTTCTGCAGGAACTCCAGGACCTCAGCTGTGCTGAAATACACCCGCACTCCCTGTTTGATAGGACTTTGGGGGCAGCAAATCCTTCTCAGTCCAGACATAGCCCTTGAAGCTTGAAATATCTGTCTGAGCAGAAGTCAACTTCTGTCTCCTCTATGGAAACACTTAGACTACTTGTCCAGTGGACCGGTAAGATCAGCTCCCTTCCCTTGTATTATATGAATGGAAAATGAGTTAAAATTGATTTGAAACCGTTTAAGTTGCACTCTACTGAGGCTTATAAAATTATTTTTAAAAACACACACACATCACAAACAAAACACACAATCCAACTATTTGAACTGAGAATACAGATTTAAATCTGTAGATGATCTGTTCAGTTGATCAGCTCTGCCTCTAGACTGCTCAGGAGACCCTCTTACCCACCTCTTACTCACTCTAGATGTCTTTATTTCCTTTATCCACTCACCCTCTGGACCATGAGATCATTGGAAATGTTTTGTCTCAATTCAATAATAGATGGAAAAATTCTCTAAGAAGTCCAGTCCAGTGCCACACTCCTATCACACCTCTGAAATGAAGCTTTGAAGATTCATATTTCTCAACACGTACACTTTAGTTGATTTTTATTTCTCTTAAGTAGCTCATCTGTGATTCTTTGCTCTTTTTCCTGTAATCTCAGCAATGTGTCCTGGATACCAAAGGAATACACTCAATATGTGTCTACTGCCTGGCATAAGCCATTAACACATTCAGCTGCTGACCAAAAGGTTTGAGGTTGGAATCCACTTGGAGGTGCCTTAAAAGAAAACATGAGTGGTTTATTTCTCAAAAACCAGCCATTGGAAGCCCTGTAGAGCACAGTTCTATAGTGATGCATGTGAGATTCCCAGGCTTTCCAGTGAACTTGAGGGCAACCAGTAAATATCTACCTCGAAAAGTTGTTCTAGGAATCCCTGTGCAAAGCAAGTGGTTAAATGCTTGCCAAGAACTTGGTATTTCAAACCCACCTGGTGGTGCCTCAAGAGACAGGCCTGGCAATCTGTTTCTGTGCAGCCTTGAAAACCCTGTGCAGCAGTTCCATCAACAACAAAGCTGTTTGTATTAAAATAAATGAAATAATATGGGAGAATAGCCTGTGAAAACAAAGGGAAATGGGAAAAGTGTGGGAGGAGGGAAATATCCTAGTTATAGGTGACAAGATCCCAAGGCCCAATTGTAAAAATGGTGTTAAATTTGAACTCAATTGTGCTTCCCGAAAGAAACCAAAAGCCAAAATCCACTGCCATGAAGTTGAGCCTGACTTATAATGACCCTCAGTAAGGTTTCCTAGTCTATGAATCTTCACAGGAGGGGACTATTTTTCTTCCTCAAAGTAGTTGATGGATTAGAAAGCCAGCCAATTGGTTAGTGGTCCAACATGTAATGCTCTATAACCAACTGGGGCTCCTTGTCTCCTAAAATAGGGGGTGTGAATCCTAATCTCCTCCTATGGGATTTACTGCCTCTGAAAACCTGCAGGATGGTTAACTGTGGTTCAGTTTCAACCCGCTGGCACGCAACAACAGTAACAAAGTGGTTATAATCATATCTGAGAAACGGTTGTCTTTGCTATGTCAAAGAGAAAGCATTAGTGTAGGGTGTGTTTCACGTCAATCTCGTTTGAGTTACAAAAGATGTTAAATAAACAAAGAACAAAGATGACCCTAAACCAAATGAAGAACAATGAAGAGCAGGAGCTCAAAGAGACCAAGAGCTTGCTCCACAGCTCTGTGTGGAGAGAAAACATTTCACTAGAACTGGAATCCCGAATACAGACTTCTCATCTTCTATGAGAAACTATAGGGATCTCTGGTGACCTAGGGTAAGAAGCTTAACTGCAATACTGAAGGCACATAGTTCAAATCCACCAGCTGCTCCTCTGGGGGAGAAAGATGGGCTATCACCTCCTGTGCAATTAACTGCCTCTGAAAAGCCACTTGGGGGGTCAGCTATGAGTCGGTTTCCACACAATAACAGCAATGAGAATAGATATTTCTTTGGTGAAGTGTCTGCTCATATCCCGTGTTCATTTTGCAATTGGGTTGTTTACCTTTAGCTTGTTGTGGTTTTTGAGAAGACTTCAGATGGTAAACAAACACATGAAGAAATGTTCAAAATCTCTAGCTCTAGTAGAGATGCAAATCAAAACAACTATGACATGCCATCTCACCCCAGTCAGAATAGCAAAGTTCAGCAGAGCAGTAAACAACAAATGTTGGCAAGGTTGTGGAGAAACAGGAACATTTGTTCACTGTTGGTGGGAGTGTAAAATGATGCAACAACTATGGAAGGTAGTATGGTGCTTTCTAAAAAAGTTGAAAATAGAAATACCATTTGACCCAGCAATTCCACTACTGGGGATAAACCCTAAAGAAACCAGAACTGCCACTCCACCAGATATATGCACACCCATGTTTATTGCTGCTTTGTTCACAATAGCAAAGAGTTGGAAACAACTCAAGTGCCCATCAACAAACAAATGGATAGATAAGCTGTAGTATAGTCACACAATAGAATACTATGCAGCATTGAAAAACAAAGAACTCATGAAATATTACACAAAATGGGTGACCATGGAGGACATTATGTTGAGTGAAATATCTCAGTCACAAAAAGACAAATACTGTATAATGCCACTGTTATCGAACAAGACTGATATGGGAGTTGGAGGGAAATTAAGAAAAGAAGGGATAAATAATGTGCACAGCATTAAAACAGACGAGGGAGAGAACTGTATAAAAGAAATATATGATTAGGTATTATTGGCATGACAAGAGCCCAGAATAAGAGCTGCACAGTAAAGTGGTGTGGGGATGACGACTGTATAACAATGAAAGAACTTTTTTCCCAAAGGAAAAAAGTGAACTGGGGGGTGGGCGGGGAGTGGGGGGCAGGGAGGAAAAAGTGCAACAATGAATGAATGGAAATCCAAGTTCTTTATAAACTTTCATTAAAATCTAAAAAAAAATAAAAGAATATACATTTCTGTCAAAGCCTCCCTCCCACTGTGGTCTTTCTGTTCAAGCACTGGATAACTAAGGCAGCAAGGATCTGAAGGGACAAAGGGAGTGATTTTATGATTCCACTTTGGCCATGAAGCATTTTAGTTGGTGATGAGTCCGTCGTCTAACGACAGCTAAATCTTCAGAGCCCACACTGCCGACTTAATCCCCTAGGCTTGCCCGTCCATTTGTGTCCTGCTTTATTTCAATCCACTTCATGTTCTTTGCAATGCTACTTTCAAAGTTTCTGGGTTTACAGGGCAAGCTTTGTTGTTATAGTGTTGGGGCTAAAATCCAACCAGGTAAATCTCATGAACACTCCTTGTATGAAAGGAAATACAGAGAGAGGGTTAAATTAGAAAGAACCTCATTGAGTTGAGGACTTCCCCCCCTTGCCATCTTGTCTTAAATTCTAATCAACTGTCACTTTCACATCCTTTGAATACTTCTGACTAGAGAGAAATGAATCTTTTGGAAATACTGGCATCTGTTGAAATATAAAGGGTTGATGAGTTAGAGCTACAGCAGGGTACTTACAAACCTGAATACTACACGTTGCTCACACCTGCTAGCTGGCCGTATTTCTTTATCAAGCTTTCTCACCCGTGTATCACCTGTCTCTCTCCCTTATTGCCCTGGAGTTGGGATTGCCTCAAAGCTGACCCTCCGTCAGGTTTTCTGAGGTTATAAATCACATGAGAGGATATTGTCCCTCTTTCTCCCATTGAGTGATTAGTGGACCTGGAGTGCCTTTGAATTGGAAGTCCAACACCTTGTTACTAGTCTACCAGAGCTAGCATTAATAAAGATACATTTTAGACTTCCCTTGCTGTAAGAATATCCTTGGACTCCTGACATAGGCTTTTTTCTTTATTATCTAGAGTTATGTATATT